GTCTAATCAGTATCCAAGTTATTCAGTGATAAATTTAATCCTTTTCTTAATGTTCTTTTTCATGAATGAATTGTTTGTTTGTTAATCCTCAATCTCTGATATGTCACGAAGAGTGTTTGTTTGTCAGTCAGCTACATAAGGCGGTGTTATGACTTGAAGAATGAGATAATACCTATAAATTTTCAAAGAACAAATAAGTTTAAAAAGAAATAAACAATACTAAGGTGGTGTGTCTAGGGTGAACCACCAAATAAAGTGGTTCATGGTGGACCCCAAATGAGAACTGTTGGATTCTTTTTGGAATATACATCAAGTTTTTAGATACACTTTTGCATGTATTTTATTTCAAAATATAAATATACATACATAACTATATATACATAACTATTAGTTATATATTTCTAAAATATATATATAACTTAATAACTATGTACATAACTATCAATCGTGTTATATTTTGGATTGATTTATTTTGCATATATATTTTATTTCAAATTATATATATACATAACTATTAAGTTAAATGTTATATATAACTATAAATGCAACCAGTTAAATATTTCTGCCCTTACACAGATCTCGTTTATATAGTTTACATAATTATAAATCGGAGAGTTCATTTTTACTTATTTGCATGAATAACTTCAATCTCGACAAAAAAATTACAATATGTAGTAGCTTTGGTTGTCAATAAATCAATCCAAAATATAACATGATTGATAGTTATATACATAACAATTAAGTTCAATAGAAGCACTCAGGATTTTATTTTTATAGATTTAAAATAGTTGAACACTACTTGTCATAGCTGAATCTACGTGGACGTCAAATTGTTGAATCTTCTATTACCACTCTACTTCATGTTTCAATTATAAGTACAATGTTTTTCTCTATCTATTGGATTAAAATTTGCTTCAAACACTTAAAAAAAGATTTGTACAAATTTTTTTTTGCTATTGTCTAGGATAGTAAAATAGATCGTTTGTTCCGCTCAGTTCCATTCCACCTTTAATCTGTTAAAAAAAGGCACGGCGAGCAAGTCCGTCAAATGAAAGTGAATATAAAAATCTAGTTTGTTCCGTCAAAGTGGCGAGTCGGTGGACAACAGACTTGTCAGTTTATTTTTTTAATTTTTAATATATTAAAATAATTTTATTTATATTTCAATTAGATTTTTCAAACAATTTTTTATAAAGTATCTTTTTAATGAAATTTACTTGTATTGCATATATTCACAAATAAATGTATAAAATAAAACAATTAAGAATTGGACCTATTAGAATTAACTAAAAAAAAGCGGGTTTAAGGTGGGACAAGTTGAACGAATAGGCGCGACAGGTTTTGGCGGACGACAGGTTTTGACGGGACGGATTTTGGCGGGCGGCGGTCTTTAACGGGGCAGGTTTTGGTGGGCGGCGGATTCAAAATCCCAATTCAATCCACTATTTTTTGGCGGATGTGCGGATCGCTCCGGTGAAGCACTGTCTGTTTTGCCACCCCTACTCTTATGTGTATGTTTGGTTTAGTTTGGAATAGACAAAATCAAATTTAGAGGTGAAAAAGTGGTTTTGGAATGATTTTGAAGTGTTTTGTGTTTTTAAAGTAGAATTGTTATACCTTTAAAATTGATTATATTTAAAGTTATAATTTGTAATTTTTGAGTTTAAATGTGATTTTTACACTGAAATTCGTTGTTCAACTCATTTTTCTATAAACATATTCAAATATAAATCAATTTATATCCAACTCACTTTTAAACAGAATCAATTCGCCAAAATCAATTCACCCAGAATCAATTTCCCTCACCACAGGACAAAACATACAGTATGTGTTATCCCACACAATCATAAAAAGTCTAAAATGTTCCTAGTGTTCGAAGATGCATATCTGGACGCACCTAAAATTATACCAACCAAGACATTGCAAGTGAGACGCCCTTTATTTTACTCAAAAAAATATTCGAAGATACATCTCCGTAAAGCATCTCCGAAAGATTCCAAAAATGTATCGTCCTAAAGTGTCCAAACACATTCCGCTTTTTGTTAAATAAAATTTCTATATTGAATGAATTCAGGCTGGAATCATGAACGAATCACTTTTTTTATAGTATTTCAAACACTCTCGGATGTCTTAGAGTTTTCTATGCAGCAATATCCAGCATAATTCAGCCTATACCCGAGTTTGCACAAGACAAATTAAAACTCGAATGTAGGAAAAAGAATCCGATTTTTTTTTAAGAGGATATATGCTTTGTAATGTCATTTTTGAATTCAAAATGATTTATTTATAGGCCATGTTGGTGTTGTTTCATAAGATTGCGATCCTTGATGAAATAACATCCTTTTAGCATGGTTTCGTCTATAACAACGATTTTTTAAGTTGCACATTTTTATTATGCAACACTTCATGAAGTGTTGCCTTTTTTCCGAATTCAAAATTCAAACTCAAGCAACGATCAAAAGTAAAAGCAACGACTGTTTTTCATATGTGGCGGTTTTTCGCCACATGCCGACCAAAGGCCGACTCCCATAACACCACCTGGCCTCTACACCCACACCCACGCTCTCGGACCCGGTGTCGCCATTGTGACCACCACACATATCTATGTGGCACTTTATCCTTTTTTGTATTTTCGTTGAGTTAATGAACATAACTCTTTATAAAGGCCTTTTAATGTGAGTGTCACTTTTTATGTGAGACTATTTTTCTATGCATTTATTGATATTTATTCACTTTCATTTTTCATGTCATTCTTGAACACACTCATGGACATTTATTGTTTATAAATTTACAACACTTTTAGCTTGACTAGAAACCTCTAAAATGCTTAAAGAAGGTTAGTGGTGAAGCATTATTTTTCTTTTCAGCTTCATCTGGTACCACTGAAATACTATAACCATATCAGACCACTTAAATACTATAACAAGGTGACTAGCTAACCATTATGGACAAGTAGTACTTGATAATGAGGATGGACTAGGAATGATGGACCCAAACAAGAAGGAAAATATGGAAAGAGCAAAAATCACCAAAGCTTAAGAGAAGAAGGAGAAGAATAAGAAAGAAGAAATAGTTCAAAAAAAAATATAAAATTTAGTTATGAGTAAGAACAAAAATTGTTTGAAAAGCTAAAGCAACCATTATATAATGGAACAACTGAAGTGAATCAACACTGCAAAATAAAAAAAAATGGAAGAAAAAAAATAACAGCCCAGATGACACCTTAAAAAGTATAACGATAGTTGGGTGCACTAAAACACTCTGGGACAAATCACCATGCCATAACCTATGAATCTAGGGCCACGTATGAGGAAAACATGTGAAACACCTCAATAATGAGGTTGAGATTAATGAAGATATCTCCAAATATTTTCCACTTCTCATCACATAATGCCGGTTAGAGGTACCTAACCCAACTCTTCGAAAGGCTTTCCATGCATCACACCATAATAAACTTTGAGGGGGACAATTTTTTTGGGCCGACTACGTGCCCAATATGGTATAGACCAATATTCTCCCATTGCATAAATATCACCACATGAATAACAAAAAGGTATGATTCAATCCATAATTCACTCTATTCTGTTTATTCATAAATTGACTTAGGCGTTGGAATGTTAACCTTGTAGATCTACTCCGTACAAACGCATCAGAGCATCTTGCACCACCGCATCTAGGATATGCACTAGTAAATCTAGTTCTAGAACTGAACAAAATTAACTAAAAGGATAGAGAAAAAGAACGTACCTTGAGAAAGTTGTAGAGTTCGAGTTGAAGAAACAAAGACAATATCAGTAAAGACCCAAAATGGTTGCACGAATGAAGATGGAGATTGAAAAAAAAGAGAAGATTGTTGGCAAAGTAGAGGCCATAAATAAGATTAGTGATATGAAACTTTGGTTCGAGAGGAGCAAAATGAGAAACTAATGGCATTCTACCCATTTTATAGACACCTAGTGAGCATAAATATTTGTCCATGAATCAACATAACAATAGGAGACATGATTAACAACTGAAGATTAATCTCAATTCCATAGTGCCACTTGAGTGCATTCAAGTGTTATTGTAGTGTCACCATTCCCTACCCTAGAAACCTAGGGCCACATGAATCATTTACACTACGAAATGTTTCAGTTACAAGACAAACATTTGATGCGCATGTTCTTGAGTTCATATACTCCTAATTAATACACCAATGGCCTCTTCCCTAGTTCATGCGACCAATCAGGGACCTCGAAACAATGAAGAAGATCATTCTAGAGGTCTATCTCAACACTTTTATAACAATCCTAGCCCATTGCTATATAGCAAGGAATTGAGCAACAACTTTTTCGGGTTGGCAAAACGATCTAATAAGACTGGTCCAATTCAAAGGTCTAATTTATGGTTTCATCTGCCTAAAGGTGACGAGCATGTGAATCCTTGTGAAATGGACGCTCATCGGAACTCGTCACTACGCTCATCGCAACCGTTAGAACTACTCAACAACTTCCCATATTTCACGTTGTGTCCATGTAAGACAGTTTTAACCGTCACTCATATATAAGTACAAACACACGTAAACTTAAAATACGTTCTTTCACTCTTTCAAGTTACACCTCTCTAACCTTCACCATTTCTCGATCCATCAAAAACTCTTATCACCATACCGAAGAACTTCTACGAAGACCTACAACAACACTCCACCAAATTTTTATTCCATATCAAAATATCAATGAACTACTAAAGTTATTTTTTTAATTTTATCCCTAATTATTTATTATTATAATATTTTTTAAAATTTATCTTTCACATACGACTATTATTATTATTATTTTATATATTTTTTCATAAAAATAAAAAACAGTTTTATAAAACTCATTAAAAATAATCTTTAACCTTCCTTTCATCTCTTATTTCTCACTTTTCACTTTTCACTAGTCTTTTCATCTGGAGAGAAAAAAATCAGGAGAGGATCCAAATCGGAATTAAAATTGTGACACTAAGTGGCAATAGAAAGAATGGTGAAAGCAAATGAAGTAGAAGGAGCACCAATACCTGAATCAACACTAGAAGTACTCAACCGTACTTTATACAACCTTGAGCAACTCGAAACCCAATTGCCCCAATTCCTTTCCCACTCAGACCCTGATTACCTCTCCCAACTTCCACTCCTTCGACGAGCTCATTCTCTCATCTCCCTCGCGAAACTCACTTCAACTCTCTTCTCATGTTCGTAGCTGCAACTTTATTGCCATTATCATCATCATCATCTATTTATTGTTGCTTCACTTCAATTTGATGTTGATTTTTCATTACAGTGAAGTTGAAGTGTAGAGGAGTTAACCCAAATGATCACCCTTTCAAATCTGAGCTTGTGAGTGTGTTTTTGCTGATAAAGGTTTTTTTTTTGTTTATGGTTCAAAATTTGAGCTTTGGTTATGCGTTGCATGTTGCTGAAGATTATTGGTTTTATGTTTTACAGGATAGGGTAAGTGTGTGCCAAAATAGACTGGAACGCCTTCCAAATCTTAGTGAAGGTAAGTCATGTTACTTGTTTCTTATTCTTTCTCAACCATGGTGTTTTATCTATCATAACTTGCAGGCCATGTTTGAATTGATGGAATGAAATAGAATTGAATAGAATGAAGTGGTATAAACTTATGTTCTGTTGTTTGAATTAATTAAAAAATGATGGAATGAAGCGGAATCTGATGTAATGTATGTTATGTCATTCCATCACTTTCTATCATTTTTTGTACCTCCGATTTGAAGGGAATGACAAAATTGCTCTATTCCGTTATGAAATATCCAAACAATAGAATGACATCTTTGTTCTAATAATTATGGGTGTTGGAGTTGGTAGTTGTGATGTTGGAGTTTGTTTGAAGTCTCACATTGCTTAGATTCTCAGACTGTTGGGTGTATAAATATGTGAGAGAAACTTCACCCTTTGAGCTAGCTTTTGGGGTTGAAATCCAATCATATTTAACATGGTATCAGAGTTGAGTTAAAGACTGTAAAATGGACATTTGATCTAGGCTCATACTAGGCGTGAGGGTGGGTGTTGAAGATGGTAGTTGTGATGTTGGAGTTTGTTTGAAGTCTCAATTTAGGTTTCAAGACTGTTGAGTGTATACATATGTGAGAGCAACCTCACCCTTTGAGCTAACTTTTGGGGTTGAGATCCGAACATATTTAACATGGTATCAGAGTTGGGTTAAGTACTGCAATGTGGGCATTTGACCCATGCCCACACTAGGTGTGAGGCTGGGTGTTGAAGTTGGTAGTTGTGATGTTGGAGTTTGTATGAAGTCTCAACTTAGGTATTCAGACTGCTAAGTTGAAGTCTTAGCTTAAGTTCCAAACTGTTGAATGTATAAATATGTGAGAGCAACCTCACCCTTTGAGCTAATTTTTGAGATTGATATCCAAACATATTTAACAATGAAATTGGGCTACCTCACAAATGGACGACTCTAGGAATCAAACCCAGCCTCTTTTCATGGGGAGAATTATGTTAGGAGCTCTCCCAACACTATGTTGTCTATCTCATTCTAACTTTGTTGTGAGTTTAAGGTTGGATAGAGATATTGACCTAAATTGTGGTTATGAGTGGTAAATATTCCAAATTTTACGAGTTGATTTTGTGCGGTTGAATAGAAATATAATCTTGGATAAAATATTATGGTGGAAGTTGATTTGTGCAGTCGATACCACTTTGTGAGATAAAGTTTGGTTGTTGTTGTTGTGGTAGTTTTGTGCGGTTGTGTTAACCCTAAAATTAGATGGTATCTAGTTGTATTCTAGATCCGTTACTCTTAAAACTAAGTTTTTTCTTCTTTTCAGTATGTGTTTTAAGAGTTTCTGCTACACTGGCAAGGTTATTATTTCTTTGTTTTGATTGTCTAATGCTAAGAATTTGATAAGATGATTTAGATTTTGATACTCTTTTTGTTGAACACTCTGTTAGCTTGCTCCATTTGTATCTTTCATTTTGAATTTCATATGTATGAAAAATAACCCGTTGTTTCAAGCAGAAGAGTGGCAAGATATGGTGGAGGAAAATTTGAACCATCATGAGCAGGCTGGTCAAAAGAGGAAGTATCCATCATCTGAAGAACAACCTGATCAATATGATTCCAAGGAGTTTGTGGAGAAACGAGAGGAGCTTCTCGGTGGTGGTAATATTGGAAGTAGTATTAATGGAGCAATAATAGTTGACCTATCCGATGATGAAGACGACGATGATGAGGTGATTGCACTCTAATTTACCCAAATTCTGTTAGTGGTTTCAAATTTCTATGACATTCTCATTTACTTTATGAACTTGATATCCCCAAATTTTATCTATTTCAATTGAGTAGCTGTATAATGGTATTAACTTTAGGGTGATAACTGATAAGAATTTACTGTCACTAGAATATTGGCTTCTGATATGCGATCCTGATGGTTTTGCGAGGATAAAATCTGTACAAGACATTTACTTTTAGTTAGCAATATAGTCAAAATCATAGGTTACATGAGATTTGAACGTGGAGGTAAAAATGTTCCATCTTCAAGATATTATAAAAATCACACAATAACATAAAATAAAATAAGGTACGGGTACGATAGTATAATTTTTTTAAAATATAATTATAAAAATCACAAAGAAGTTATATTATTTAAATAACAACGAAACATTAAAATTAAAAATCAATTTGCTTAAAAAAATTAATATCAGCACAATAACATAAATAAATCACACTTAAAAAATATTAATCAATCATGAAAATCATGACTGAATATTAATATTTTCTTCTCCAATATCATTAAAAAGAACAACTTCTAATTAAGATTCATCGAGAGAAAGATTAACAACTTCAAGAATACCAGCTCCATCGAATAGATCTCATTCATCTCCACCAATATCCCACATTTTTGTTGCTTCTTCATTATAAACCTTACTCTTTCTCGAGGGAATACAAAGATTTATATGAACAAAAACGAAATCCTCATCCCTCTCTGGATTGAGTCTATTTCTTTTCAATGAATACATAAATCCATATGTGCTTCAATTTTTCTCGGCAGAAGATGAAGAACTTGGTTGTGAAAGAAGTTTCAATGCAATAGATTGGAGTTTAGGGATTGAAGATCTATAAATTACCCACCATTCTTTTGGTTTCAAGTTCCACCTATCCGAAAAAAATTAAAAAAAGTTGGGTACGTGGTACCAAATGTGTATCGGGTGGTGTACCAACTTAAAAAAAAAAAAAATTGGTACGGCTTCAGTGCGTATCATACGTACATATACCGGTACCTGGTACATACCCTGTATTGGTACTTTACCTAAAATGGAGTACCCGAGCTTCACAGATCAGTCACAAAATTTTAGAAGATACTTTCCACGGTCATTGCAACTGGAGTGTATTTCCTCTTATTTGCTGATCCTTTTTGTTCAAGTTTGTAACTTAGCATAGATAACATACCTCCTGTTAGTGTTGATTGTGTCGAAGTCCAAGTACAACTATATTGTCTATATGCTTCTGAAGGAACACAAGCACATGCTAATTAGTATTTTTTTTATTAAGAAGCGATCCTAGTTTTTAACACGAGAAACTACAAGATATTTATAATTTATCTTAGACAGCCTCTTTTGTGAATTATTAGTGTTGAAATACGAGAGAAAGAGAGACATTTAGATAAAATCGTGTGATTGAGTAGTACTATGGAGGTTCTATTTTTTCGCGAATTACATAATTAATTGTGTTAATTACCTAAAGAATATACCACGGCATATTTACAGAATATGCTAAGGAATATTCTTTTCTAAATATATATACAAATATCAACACTCTCCATTAACCTGGAGCGTATAAGTCAAATGCACCAAGTTTGCCATATATAATTAGTTTTGGAACCTCGTAGAGACTTTGTAAACACGTCTACTAATTGATCATTAGAGTAGACAAATCTTTTGACAATGTCGCCTGTTTGATCTTCTCTCTGATAAAGTGACAGTCTATCTCAATATGTTTGGTTCTCTCATGGAAGACTAGATTCAACACAATATGTAATGCAACTTGATTATCAAAAATAAGTGTCGTTGGTCTTGCTTCTTCAATTTGAAGTTTCTTGAGCAACTTCTTCCACCAAATGAGCTCACATGTAACCAATGCCATATCCATGTATTCTGCCTCAACGTTTGATCTTGCAACTACATTTTGTTTCTTATTTTTCCAGGATATCATGTTTCCTCCATCTAGTACATAATACCCCGAAGTGGACCGTCTATCTATGGGTGAGTCTTCCCAATCAGTATCAGAGTATCTAACTATCTGAGTATGTCCTCTATCTTCATATATGAGACATTTTTCTGGAGAATTTAAGAACTGGTTTACCAGACTAACTGAAAAGAAATGTCCGGACGAGTGACTGTGAGATAATTCAACTTTCCAACCAATCTCATATACCTTCCTGAATCTGGTAGATGTTTTCTCATATAGGGTAGGAGTTTGACACTTGAATTCATAGGAGTATCAACTGGTTTAGCATTCAACAAGCTCGTTTCTTCCAAAATGTCCATAGCATATTTCTGCTGAGAAAATACAAAATCATCTATACATTGGGCTATCTTAATACCCAAAAAATAGCGGAGTTTATCAAGGTCTTTTGATGTCAAGTTGATGAAGAGGCCAATGGCGAGAAGAAATGTGATTGATGCCATCTTGGCTACAGGAGAAAAAGTATTATTATATCCAATCCAAAAATCTGAGTGTATCCTTTGGCTGCTAATCGAGTTTTAAATTGATCAATCTTACCATCTGGACCAACCTTCCCAATATAAATCTAGCGACAACCTACCCAAGATTTCCCAGGGGTAGAAGAACCAGTTCCCAGGTATCCTTACTTTGAAGAGCACAAATGTTGTCAAATCATTGCTTGCCTCCACTCAGGGTGAGATAATGCTTCTCCTGGAGTTTTAAGAATAGAAATGGAAAACAAATAAGACAAGCAAGTATAATCCAAAGGGGAAAGACGATGATAACATAAATCAATAGAATATGGAGAGGGATTTCATGTTTGACGTATACCTTTTCGAAGGACAATCGGAAGATCGGACTTAGGCTGCAGGATCAGATCCAGTGATGGAGACAACGCTGGAGGAGAATCTGCAATGACCTCAGGGACATGTACGATATACGTTGGGTGACAACCATGATATGTTTATAGTGGTCGTGAAGTGGGGGGTCAACCGTAGGGGTATCCAGTGGGTCAGGCTCCTTGAACTTATAAGGAACAATGGTAGACAAGACATTAATAACTTCTTGAAGAGGTGTATGGGTAATTTCCCGAAAGGGTTCCGGTATCACGTGGTTGGACTCGAAATATCGAACTGACTCAAAAGAGGTATTATCGATTGATATGCGGTATCATTGTAGTGTAGGAGAATAGCGACGATGATCTTTTTGGGATTGGTGATAACCAAGAAAGACACACTTGAGTGATTGAGCTGATAGTTTATCAAGTCCAAGTGTGAGATTGTGAACAAAACATGTAGACCCGACGACGAGGAGGAATTGGGTGAAGTGGGGAATGGAGAAAAACGAGGTATATTATCATTAAGGACTGATGAGGGCATGTGGTCTATAAGTTAACATGCCGATAGCACAACAACCTTTAAAACCAGAGTGGAACATTACCATGGAGAAGTAAGGTCCAAGTGGTTTCTACGAAAAGCCTTTTTGGCGTTCGGCTATCCTGTTTTGTTGAATTGTATGAGGGCAAAATGTTTGGTGGAAAATACTATTACAAGATATAATTTTTTAAAATAAATTTTTAAATTGTTGGGGTAAATATTCACAGAATGATTTTTATCAAGAAATATTAGACACGCTAAATTGAGTTTTTATTTCTTGATAAAATTGTTCAAAAATAGAAAATAATTTGAATCTATTCTTGATTAAAAATAACTATGTGCTACGTAAAAAATCATCAATTAAGGTAACAAAATACCTAGACTCAAAAGTAGAGACAGTACGCGAGGGATCTCAAACATAAGAGTAAACTAAAGCAAAGGAAGACGAAGTCCGTTTATTGACTTGATTGGGAAAGAAAGTTACTACGATTGTGTTTCGGTAAGTGACATTACTCGCAATGTAAATTAGATAACTTTGATAAACTTGATACCAACTTATGTAGTTTAGGAAAACCTGAATGACCAAATTGAGCATGGATAGTGAATGGAGAATTTGTGAATGGACATATCTTAGATGACACATAGAGGTACTAAAATGTTGAAAATCTACCAAATATTTATGATGAATTTCTACCAATCTTGATGAACAAGATTGATATCATCACACAATGACAATGAATTATGAGAAAATAAAAGAAAAGAAAGAAGACAATTATTTTCTGCAGAGTTTCTCTCTGCCCACAAACTGTGAAAAACTTTATTAATCACTTGCAACTGTAAATTCTGTGATTACAATGAATTGACTTGATTACAAAATTAAGGGTTACTCCCTCTATTTATAGATTTAAGTTAACTTGCTCCCTAAGCCAAAACCCAAAACTATAAAAGTCCAAATACATATTTTGATACTAAGTCAAATCTATCTATTTTAGATCTAAATCAAATCTATCTGTTGAATAATGAGAGAACAAGAGGAAGGTTGGATTGAATCCGTGTGTGTGAATTACACATCGGAGCTCATTATATATAATAGGAGGTATAAATGCCATAGTAATTACATAATATTCTATAATAATTACATAATATTCTATTTCCTATTTACATGATATCCTAATTACTTACAGAATATTCTATTTACATAATATGGAATATTCCGATATCTAACACTCCCCCTCAAACTGGAGCATATATGTCATATGCACCAAGCTTGTTACAAATATAATTAATTCGAGGACCTCTCAAAGGCTTAGTGAAAACATCAGCTAACTGATCATTTGAATTGACAAAACTAGTGCTGACATCTCTAGATAAAATCTTCTCTCTGATGAAATGACAATCAATCTCAATGTGTTTGGTTCTCTCATGGAACACTGGATTTGATGCAATATGCAAAGCTGCCTGATTGTCACAAATAAATGTCATCTGTGAAACATCCCCGAATCTCAGGTCGTGAAACAATTGTTTAAGCCATATAAGCTCACATGTTGTTGTTGCCATGGCTCGATATTCTGCTTCCGCACTTGACCTTGCCACTACACTTTGTTTCTTACTCTTCCAGGAAATTAAGTTACCAC